GGCACCGGGGACACCGGTGACCGACAGCCACTGCGGAGCCTGCCTGCCAGGGTGAGCCCAGCCCCACGGGGGTTGGGGGGCGAGGGGGGGGGGATGTCACTTGTGGGTCCTCTCCTGACCCTCTCCCCCACCTACTTCACTCCCACCCCACAGGTTTTACAGCCCTGAAGGGGAGAGGGACCCCCGGGGCCGGTGCCTGCCCTGCGCCGCCGCTCCCCGAAGCACCCCGGGGTGCCCAGGTGGGTGCTGGCTCCAGAGGTGTGTCCCCCCCCAAGTTCTGTGGGTGCCGAAAGAGCACGTTCCTCCTGGAGGACACCATGGGATGTGTCCCTCTAAGAGCAAGGCTGATGTCCCGTGGGGATGTGGCAGCTGAGAACATCTCCATTTGTGACACAAATGGCTCCCTGCTTCCCCCTGAAGCAGGGCTACTAGGGGAAAATGGGATTTAATCCCCCTCTCCCCCCAAAAAGCCCCTTTTCTGAGGTTCATTTGGTGCTTCCTTCAGGTTGGCGACGAGCCCGCAGCCCCGAAACGCCGGGACAGATGGTGGGGACCAACGGGACACGGGGGATGTTGAAGGGTGAGGAAGAGGAAGAGGAGGAGGAGGCAGCGGCGGCGCAGGCGGCCGTGTTGACCATCGTCCCGGTCTTCTGCGCCATGGGGTTGTTGGGCATCTTGGTCTGCAACCTCCTGAAGAAGAAGGGCTACCACTGCACCGCCAACATTCTGCGCCATGGGGTTGTTGGGCATCTTGGTCTGCAACCTCCTGAAGAAGAAGGGTTACCACTGCACCGCCAACAAGGACCCCCAGCCTGGTGGCACTGGTGAGTCCTGGTTGGCCATGGGCACCTTCTGGTGATCCCACCCCCATCCCACGTCCACCTCGCCTCTCTCAGCCCATCCCCGTGGCTTCTGGTCCTCCTTGTCCCAGGCATCTCTCCCCGCCCCTTGGTGGGGTTTATCCCCCATCATCATCGAGTCCGTCCCACCTCAACTTCTACCTCCAGGTCCCAGCTCCATCTACCAGCTGGAGGACCCCAACGAGGACACCATCGGGGTGCTGGTGCGGTTGATCACCGAGAAGAAAGGTCAGAAGGGGTCCCTGGGTGGTGGTGGTGGGGGGTGGGTGACACAGGCCAGACCCCTGTGACTTCCCCCTTGGTGTCCCCCCACCCGTAGAAAACGCCGCGGCGCTGGAGGAGCTGCTGAAGGAGCACCATGGCCAACAGGCGATGCCACCACCGGGCTACACCCCCCAGAATAAGTAAGACCTCCCCAAGGTGGCACTGAGGACCCCCCAACCATGGTAGGACCAACCCCATGGTGATGGCATCTCCTCACCTCCTTCCTAGGTTGTACCTGTCGTGCCGCGGGCACCTTCTGGTGATCCCGCCCCCATCCCACGTCCACCTCGTCTCTCTCAGCCCATCCCTGTGGCTTCTGGTCCTCCTTGTCCCAGGCATCTCTACCCCCCCTTGGTGGGGTTTATCCCCCATCACTGAGTCCATCCCACCCCCACCCAACTTCTACCTCCAGGTCCCAGCTCCATCTACCAGCTGGAGGACCCCAACGAGGACACCATCGGGGTGCTGGTGCGGTTGATCACCGAGAAGAAAGGTCAGAAGAGGTCCCTGGGTGGTGGTGGTGGGGGGTGGGTGACACAGGCCAGACCCCTGTGACTTCCCCCTTGGTGTCCCCCCACCCGTAGAAAACGCCGCGGCGCTGGAGGAACTGCTGAAGGAGCACCATGGCCAACAGGCGATGCCACCACCGGGCTACACCCCCCAGAATAAGTAAGACCTCCCCAAGGTGGCACTGAGGACCCCCCAACCATGGTAGGACCAACCCCATGGTGATGGCATCTCCTCACCTCCTTCCTAGGTTGTACCTCCTGCCTCAGTTTCCCCCAGCCTGCCGCCACCAGCAGCACCTCCACACGGTGCAGGGACCGGCCCCCTGTGCCCGCTGCAGCCAGAAGAAGTGGCCTCAGGTTCTACCATCCCTTGGGGCCACCACCAAGGTCCCCAAACCAGGAGGTCGCCCCGGTGAGGTCACCATCCTCTCCGTTGGCAGGTAAACCTGAACACCTGTAT